AATCGAAAACAAAAGCCCATGTACCTAAGCCACTTCGCATCCAATCTTCATCTAACTCGAATGACAAGCTCATTTCCTTCCATCTCTTGCACTACTCCCAAACCTAAGTCACCATCACCTCCATCACAACCAACAAAGGAAGAGCAAAGGCTTTTCAAGTGCACCAAGACTCTATCTCAATTGAGGCAAAAGAGAAAATAAGGAAAGACGAAGAGTTGGTTGTTGAAGAAGCAAGAATGTTTGAGGAAGCATTATGTTTGTTTACTAAAGAGCTCACCAACCCAATAGTTTCATATAACTTCTTTGGACACAAATTCTGGTCTTTATCTACTCAACCATCGTCTTACATAGATGAGGGTCTATGACCAACTCAAAAAAATGTGTTTGTTGTACAGATGACATGGTGCGAAGCTACTCTTACTCCATCAGTCCAATCGAACACTACCCTAGCAATAGTCCAAGTTAAAGAAGCACTTGTTCCCTATCTCTTTGATCTGCCAACATGGTTTGCTAAAATTGTTGTGCCTAAATTCCCCACATTAGTTAAACCATCTCGCCTTGTCGATGACATTGCATATTTGTCTATTGAGGTCATAATCGAGGTAATACCCCTACATGAAGACACATCATTGGTGGATTCAAACCCTTGAGAGCCAAAAAAAAACTATCAATCCTTTATGCCCTGAATATTTTTTGAGTTTGAGAGCATAAACTCTAAAAAGGAGAGAAAGAGAGAGAGAGAGAGAGACAAAGATGTAATGATTGTAGGAGAAGTGTACCATTGAAGATGATTGGGTACCTCTAGTCATGGATGCTACCAAGAGGTTTCCTTACTTCAATGAGAAGGAGTATATCATCATGTTCTACAATGAAGCCCCTAAGATTACCATCAGACCAAGGAATACCTTGCAATTGTTATGAGGCCTACTGGTCTTAACAACCCACCACGTCTAGATGCCCAAACCACTAGCTCATCTAGCAACAATGCAATGAAGATCAAAATCTTATTTATTTGAAAGCTATTTTGGAGTTAAGCTTTGAGGGAACCCCTCATCATTTGTACCCAAATGCTTGGTGAGTTATACAGGCTGTGGATGATTTAGTCATGGACCAAGTTCTTTATTGTTGATACTTATCCCAAGGTTACTTTCTAGTTCATCTGCAAGGGTAAGGAGAAGTTGAGGTCATACTTAGAAGATGTGCGCTACATGAGGTGTGCCAAGTGCCATTGGTGCTTTCAACAAAGACAATGTTAACACATGTCCTATGTCATGGGAAGAAGCATGTAGGTCTACCCAATCCCCTCTAGTGTTATGCCTCCCATCTCCAAAAACATTATTTCCACTCAACACAAAATCTACCGTTATTTCTCTCTTTTCTCTATTTCTTTTCATATATTTTTACCTGATAACATTATTTTTCTTTGTAGAAAAATTGTTCCTTTGCCTTCTTCTGACCAACCAGGTTCATCTATTCCACCTCAAGCTCTTCCCCTTCCAACAAAAGTTGAAAGGAACGACTTCCTTATTGGTCTCTTCAAAGCTCTTCATTTCTCTTACCAAAAGCAAACACACTTTGAAAGTAAATTCTAGAAGTTGCTTAACATTAAGTTGAGTTGTGATAAGGAGGAAGACTAATTTCAAGGGGAGATGCACTTCTGCACAACCTTTTTGCTTGTGCCAAAAAGGAGAGTAGATTATGTTTTTGAATGAGCTTTTGAACAAATTTTTGAAGAATTTCTTTTTATTGTTTTACGCAATATGCTTTGATATGTTTGTCGATATTACTACATTTTTACTATATGCACATATAATGCCTTTCAGATCATACATGTTTTCAGGGGGAGTCCCCTATGCATTTTATGTCATGTTTATGTATTCTTTGATATGAATATTTTAAATAAGTATGCTCTGGTATGAACTAGTAATGCTGTGAAAAATAGACTTTGCCTTAATAATATATGATATACTCTAAAATTAGTATATCATATGCAACATTGGCTCTGATACATGATCTGATAACTACGTTAGGCTCTAAAATGCAACATAGGCCTTAATATACATGATAGATATCATATGCTCTAATAGACATCTGAGGCTCTTATGTGTAATGTATGCTCTAATGCAAATAAGTCAATATGATCTCTTTGGTAGGTTCTAAAAGAACAAGCATGCCAATATACATATCTGTTTAGTCACTAATAATGCTTTGAAATGTCTAATAAGATCATAAGAATATGCGAATATACATGTCTTGAATAAATGTATGCATAAAATTGAACTACTCATATAATCTTATACATTATGTCTGATAGATACATTCTTGTACTACTCTGATGATTTTATAATGCTTCCACATCTTAAAAAAACTATTAAATTATTTTCTTTAACTAAGTTATGTTCGCAAAACTCACTTCGTCTTAATCAACAAAAATATTTTCTAAGACAAGAAAAACCTTAGTTTCAAAAACATGTTATTAGTCACCATCAAAAAGGGGGAGATTATTAGGTCTAAAAATGATCTTTGATCCCTCAAACTTTCAAGTTTTAATGATAGCAAATAAAATGTTTTTCTAAAGGGAAAATATTTCTACAAAATATAAATCAGAAGATGCATAAGACACAAATCTTTAGACAAACGATATGTCACCAAATGAAACATATAATTTTTATCTCATAAAGTCTTAAATACGTATCATTTATTATGAGTAACAACTATTTTGTGTAAGAATGATTGATTCCTTATCAGGAAAAACAAAGAAAGCACATTGGAAATTACAAATATGTTAAAGTCATGTTGTGCACGAGAAACAAGGATAGGCAAATCCTTAAAATCACGAAGAAAGTTAGTAAAAGTTAATGTAGAACGTGCTCTTAGTTGACACATGCCACATAAAGTCCATTTGGTTTCTAATGCTAATAAGTAGCCTCCTAATCAGATAAGAAGCGATAATTTGGTGAAATATAATTAATGTAAACATTTAATGCTTCAATGGACACTGCCCATCTTAAAGGACTCATAATGAAGATAGATGAAGCAAGCTTGTGAGGAACCCTCAAGGTTTTGTAATGGTCATCTTCATCCAGGCTACTATATAAAGAACTTCAAGTTAGAAAGAAGAAGAGAGTTGCCAACCAAAAGGAGAAAATATTGTACAAATATTTTATTTATTCTTTCTGTAAAGACGTGGTTCCCAATTGATTGTATCACGTCTCGTCTATAAGACGAAACCATCTATAAGATTATGTCCAAATATAGTTGTTGTTAATGGATTGAGTCTAGAGAGGTTTGTTTGTTAAAATGAATATTCGTTTGAGTCTGAAGAGATTTGTGTGTAAAAGAATACTCATTTGAGCATGAAGAAACTTGACTATAAAAGAATATTTGGTGTTGAACCCTAAAGAGACTTTATGTTGAAAGAGTACTACACTCGTTACTGTTAGCAATACTATTTTATTACTAAAAAAAAGTACGAGTTTTTGATAAATATTATTCAATTTCCCTTTTTGTGTATTCTTTTTTTTTTATTTTTCACAATAGTAAATAAACTAGAGTTAAAAAAAAAATACCCCTTCATTTTTCATTGATATTTACATGAGAACATATTTCATTGAAAAATACTACATTTATTTATAAGAGGACAATATAAGTTATTGATTCTATGACTACAATATAATAAGAAATATAATATATATTTTATTAATATTTCAAAATTACATATAATATTATTAAAAATAATATTTAGAAATTTTAGAGTCAATAATTATAAATTTAAATGAATATTTTAATAAATTTAAAAAATTATATTAATTTTTTTAAAATTCGTAGAAAAATCACATGTAAAATTTCCTACGAGTTTTAATTATCAAGAAACTTATCTATGAATTTTAAAATTTGTAGGAAATCTACATATTATAAAATTACACAAAAATTACTTGTGAAATTTTCGGATTTAAAATCCGCATGAAATATTTGCAAAATTTCTTACCAATCTTAACAGTGGTTGATAAAATCCAAAATTAATGAACAAAACACTACATATCTTTTTTATACAATTTTAACCTTTATTAAAACAACATTATAATAATTAATAAAGATTAGAAAAATCTTTTTATATAAAATTTTTATGTACTCATTATTTAAAAGGAGACACTACGAAGACACATAATGTCTTCTTTTACAAATTGAACACAGACAATCTTTTTCAATCTAATTTGAGTTTTTGGCATTTAAAAAAGTCAATATTTAATCTCTAATTATTTAGTTGAATAACATGAATCTCTCTTTACTTGTACTAATTCAAGTTTGTGAAGACAAATATCTATATATTTATCCATTTTCTCAAATTCTAATAAGAAAGAGAAATTTTATCTAGTTAATTCCATGTATTTATTACCTTTTTATTTAATTGAGATGTTAATTAAATAATAATATTTTAAATATATAATTAATGCAACTGAAAAAATAATAATCTTATGTAAAAGAAAAGAAAAGTAAAAAATGATATTAAAACTATAATATTTAGTTTTATGTTATAGTCTTAATTATTTTAGTATCTTCCAAATTTTTTATTTCAAACTCCCCAACATAAATTTACTCACTTTATTCTTCATGTAAGAATTTTTTTTTTTTTTTTTGGTAAATACTTCTCCAAGCTCCAACTTCATAATATTCCAACCTCAAGCGTGTGGTTCAGCGGTAGGGGTTGATCTACGCTTAAGTAAAGTCAGGGGTTCGAATCCTGCCTTGTGTATGCAGTCTAATTAAATTTTGAGGCCAGCTATCCCACTCTTTGAGGTGCCTCCGACGTAGCGAGAAGATTAGTCACTCCTATCGACTCTAGATACTCTAAGGATGAACAAAAAAAAAAAACTTCATAATATTTCAAAAATTATAGTTATAATCGGGTAAAAACAAAAGTAATTATTCACAATTCACAGTGACGTCGTACATGTACCTTAAATTAAACAAACGAGTACTTTCAAATAATCAGAATTCAGAATAGCTTTACCTACACGCACGTTCCTGGCTTTGTCACTGTGGACTGTTTGTTGCATTTGCATGTGCTGCTTCCCATTCCGTTTTCCATTTCCATAACCCTTTTTCTCAAGATTCTTCCTTTTTCCTCACTCTTTCTGAAAAACCATGGTGGGTTTCTCTTTCTGAAGGCGAAAATAAACAAACGTGAACGCAATTGGGTCATCATCGTCTTTGTTACCATTCATTTTTTGTTGTTGTTTTTGCATTGCAATTGTTTCTTAAGATGTGCTGATCAATTTGCCTCACGTGTGTGCATTGTTTGATCAGAATATAATTGCGGGAGCTTTCAAGCCTCCATGCAAGATCTTAATCGCTTTTGCCGATGGAAGAACTCGCAAGCAGGTGTGTTGTTGGTTAAGGCGCAATTCACTGATGTGAATGAATGAATTGAATGAGCCCTTATTTTTTTTCACATCATGTTTAAAATTTGTGCTTTATGGGGCTTCCTTATTTTTATTTTATGTTATTTTGTTCTAGTCTATTGGTGTGAAAGTTGGACCTTTGTGTGTGTATCTCAAATAAGCTTTTCATAAAGGAAGCTCTTTGTGCCTCTTTTCATCAGAGCCAGAGTGCTGTAACCAGTTAAATTGGTTTGGAACAACAATTGCGGCCACAATGTTAAGGTTTTTTGTGGTCTTCGATTGTCTGTATTTGTTTGCAATTTTTCATAATATCAAGGATTGCGACTAAGAGACCACAATTATGGCTGCATCTACTGTATTTGTTCATGATTTTCCATGATATCAAGGATTTCAACGAAACCAACCACAAAAGTGACTGCAACATAAAACTTTGGACTTATGGGAGGAATAAATGGTTTCAATATCAGAATCCATGGGCGTTTATACATTTGCTCCTTATCTGACCCGCATGTGGCATGAAATTCATGTCATGTCTAGTAATGATTTGATTGGCATGGTAATGAAAAAATGGGCTAATTTATGTAACAGAAAGTGGCTAGCCCACATTGGTGACTTGGTCTTTACGTACCAATGTTCAGTTTCTGAATTTTTATTCAAGGTTTGGGATGTCTGGTTTGGTATTTTGTTGTTGTTCTTTCTTATAGTAACATGTTAATCCCTCTACGTATATTATTGCTATGGGAAAACTTTCTGTTGTTTGTTTTGTTACTTCCCCATTATTGTTATGTAAATTTTTATTACTATAACACTAAGTAGGATTTGGATTTCATTCATTTTTTAAAAGTTCTTAACAAGCCCATCATGATTTACTCTTTTGTACTCTCTCATGTTTGCTAGGTTCGCATGAAAAAGGAAAATGGCCAAATGGTCATGGTTCCTCTTTTTCAAAGTCATGAGAATATAGTTGGGGAGGTACGCTACATGGCATCATCAACTGTTGTGTTTTACCTTTGATGTGGGGATTTTGTTCTGTTAGTAAACTGGAATATAATTGTTGAAACTTCGGTACCAGGTTATTATAGAACCTACAAACGGGAAGAAGGTCGAACATAATGGTGTAAAAATTGAGCTTCTTGGTCAAATAGGTGTGTTTCCTTTCCAATTTTTTTGGTATAAATCTAGGATTGCTCTCTGTAAATTCAATATCCGTTTTTACTGATGGTAGTACCCTTTAATTGCATCTGATTTTTATTTATGTGTTTTTGTGTTTGTTACTTTACATGAAAAATAGTGTTTAGCTTGGATCGGTACAAGTATATCCATATTTATTTATTTATTATTTATAATTTTGTTTGTTTATTATGACCTGAGCTTGGGGTTGAATGTAGATATATCATATTCAAGATAAATAGCAAAATGGAAGCTGGATTATTTAGTTCTTAAAATTGTGAAAAGCTTTTGTAATCAAAAGTTTTTGTATTCATGTTATTTTGTATTTTCTCCATGGGAATTGTTGGTATATGAAGTTAATTTTGTGTACAATGACTTCTGTAGGGCATTATTTTTTAGTATTGTGTGTATACAATGAATGATGCTCCATTAGCTCATTTTCTTCCTTGCAGAGTTGTATTTTGATAGAGGCAACTTCTATGACTTTACTTCTCTAGGTAAGTTTAATCTTATAAAACTCTTATCTTTCCTTTTATACCTTTTCCTGTCTGATCTGTTACTATTCTCAGCTTTTCTTTTAGAGGTTTGAATAATTACATATTCGCTTATCATACTTATAATACATGGCACATCTAAATCTTGTTTATATTTAAAAGCTCTAATATGCATTTTTTTTTTATTGCCTTGTCCCCTCCAAAGTGGCTTGCTCTCTTTGTGGGGAGCATCATGATGCTTTTGATGTAACATTTCTAAGAGTTTATATGATAATTTGCTGGAGTTTTTAACTCACTGTAATTTATGTGCAGTACGCGAACTTGATGTTCCTGGAAATTTATATGAAAGGAAAACATACCCATTTGAATTCTCCTGTGTTGAAATGCCATATGAATCATACAGTGGAATCAATGTTCGGCTTAGGTAACCTTGAATTTTCAATTCCTCTCTGTTTTTCTCTGCTTTTCTTCAATAAATATGTTGGAATAATTCAATTCTCTAGAGTTCATTTTTAAAATGGCAAGCAGCTAACAGTTAAAGATTATTGAACTGAAATTTAATATACTCTTGTTGGAAACAAAAGAGAGAATGGGGTAAGGAGGTAAAAGGTGGCTACTTTGTTGCTAGAGTCAAGAGCACTTGATCAACTTGGCTCTAATAACATGTGAAAGAAACACTTCACCTAGAAGCATAATATTGTCTGTTGGAAATATTTTTGTGAAAAATATAGAAAAATTGGATCTTGTAGACAAATTGAAATTAAAATTGAAGATGAAAAATTGTTATTTAAAATCACCATAAAAATTCATAGAAGAGGATGCCTATATATAGGCTTACAATCAATTTGAAATTCCTAACAAATTTCATCTACTAAAAACTCTATTTATTGAGATTATATCGAATAAATGAAAACAAAATATAAAAGATAAAAATGTAACAATAACAAATAATCTATCTAAAATATATTCAAAATTTAAAATTTAAATAAAGGAAAATCTCATAAATCTAACACTCATCCTTGAGATTTGCCATGAACATCACAAATTTTAGTTTCATGATCTCCAAAACTTGATTTTTGAAGTGCCATGTCATCAAGTTGTTGCACATCAATTTCTTGACCCAAGTCATTGTCTTTCATTGTCATTCAATTTAATTCTTCCTCCTATCTTTAAATACCATTTACTGGGATTTGTCATATCAAATACATCTTGCATGAAAGTGTGACCAAATCTTTCATGCCAAACATTACTCATCAATTTGAGGAATAAAATCATGATCTTCAACTAAATCAAATTTCAAATAAAAAACTGTTTTTGGTCATCTCAATCTTTGCAATCTCTAAACCATGTTCATCCATGTTAAAACAATAATTCTCTTTAAAAGAGCCTTCATACCCATTCCTTAACATTTGTGGAACACTAAGAAGATTTTGATCCAATTTTGGAATGTAAAGAACCATCTTTGACAATTATCATACCTTTCTTAGTTGAAATAGAAATTGTTCTTTTTCCATTGGCTTGCACAATTTCACCATTTCCCATCTTGACTTTCAATTCAATTTATTTGTCAATGGAGATAAAAAATGATAAACATTTAGTCCTGTGACTAGTGCAACCATTGTCAATGAGAAAGTATTCAATTCTTGAGATGCTATAAATAAATACTCATCTTCATCATCATTTTTTTTTTCAATCACATTTGTCTGCTTTTCTAGTTGTTGTTCAGGTTGATTCTTCTTTAATTTGCAATACTTTTCTCTATGGCCATTTTTATTGCAAAAATTACACTAGAAAAGGGTTTATCTTTAAACCAACAATCTTCTTTAGCATGGCTGGTTCTTTGGCAATGAAAACAAGGCAAAAAATTTCCTTTTCTCGAAGAATCTTCAATTTTTCCTTTGTTCTTATTGAAAGTTTGTGACTTTCCAAAATTCCTTCCATTGTCTTTGAACAGCTTCATCATTTCTAATGAAGACTCTTTGCTCTTATGCGTGAAGCTTGCTTGTCAATTTAGTAATTCTAAGAGTTTGCAAATCACTAGACTCTTCAATTGCAGAAATCTTGGCTTCAAATCTTTCTGGCATTAAAACCATGATTTTTTCGACAAGCTTCTGATCTTTTAAATGATGTTTCACCAAGAATTCGCATTTGGTTCACAACGTCCATTAATCTGTCATAATTATCTTTCACAGATGCATTCTCCTTCATCTTCATCAATTCAAATTCTCTCTTCAAAGTGAGAAGCCTAACAAATTTGACTTTGCTAATGCCTTCAAATTCATCTTGAATCTTGCCACACACCTGTTTAGGTGTTTCCAAGTCCATGATTTTAGTAAAAACATGATCTACAAGTCCTGCATGTAGGCAAGTGATGACTTTATCTTTCTTCAGCTTCTCCTCATAAGCTTTAACTTGTGCAATGGTTGGATTTTCTCTCAATGGTGGTGGGTCAACTTCAGAAATTACAATGTTCCATAAACCTTGAGATCTTAAAACAAATTTCCTCATGACGGCCCAAATATGATAATTTTCACCATTAAACATTGGAATTGCAGGTGAATTGGTGAAAGTAGACACCCTTGCACCAAAATTGCTTGAGCAATAAATCACTCAATTTAGCATTCAACCTTACTGTGTTTAGCATTCAATAAAAATTTTCCTCATAGCTAGTAGGAAATATTTTGAAACAAGCTCTTGATACCACTGTTGGAAATATTTTGTGAAAAATATAGAAAAATTGGATCTTGCAGACAGATTGAAATTAAAATTGAAGATGAAAAATTATTATTAAAATTATCATAAAAATTCATTGAAGAGGATGTCTATGTATAGGCTTACAATCAATTTAAAATTCTTAACAAATCTTATCTACTAACAACTCTACTTATTGAGATTATATTGAATAATTGAAAACAAAATATAAAAGATAAAATTGTAACAATAACAAATAACCTATCTAAAATTTATTCAAAATTTAAATAAAGGAAAATCTCATAAATCTAATAGTTAGCTTATTCATAATATCGGTGCCTTATCATGATAACATTTTGTTTTGGCTTCTAAGCTTTTCCTTGGATTATAAAAGCTACAATACAGCAAATGATTGTCGTCCCAAAGTCTTATAAATTGTAAAGAATATTGTCTGTCCAGATTTACTGAATTACAGCGCACACAGCTATTTTCATGCACCACTATAACATATATTTGTAATAAGTAACAGCTGTTATAGCCATCCTAATATATATCTGCTACTAGTTACTCTCCTTATAACTGTCATTGTATCAGTCATTCTTGCCCTCTATGCCTTCTCCTAGAACACACACCATGGGTGGTTTAGTTGATTTGTGGACTAGTTGGGTCGTCCTCTAACCAATTTAAATCCATGGTTACCATTAGACTATCTTAATAGTTGATTGTGTTATTGGTTGTGTCTTATTGTTCTCGTTTTACTTATTTCAATCAATATTGTCATCAGCCAAAAATTTACTTCAAGGTATAAGGAAATGAACATAATGGTTTAACTGAATGTGTTAGATCCTCTTTTGGCAATCATGCAGGTACATTTTGAAAGTGACAATTAGTCGAAATTATGTCAACAACATTGTGGAATACATGGATTTTATAGTGAGTTGATTTTCTACTATATAATCATGACTTTCAAAGCTTGCTTGCTACACATTTCCAATTGTTTTTTATTATCATATGGAATTTTTGTGGGTAAGTTGTTCTTGACCGTATGTTTGAATCATGTGAAAACAAACAATAATATGACCTATATGATTATATAATATTTACATTCAACTGTCACCATATTCCCTTTTGATTCTGTTTTTGTATATATGTTCATCTGTTTTTGTAAATTATTTCCTCAAATATTCTCAACGTACATCAAATGCACTCTAGTACTACTAACTGAATTAGTTTCAAGACAACGAGGCAGGCACTGTGTGAAAATTCTAGAAACCAAATTTGTGGTAGACACAATGTTTAGATAGTTTTTTTTTAGATAAAAGAACTTTATTGAGAAAATGGGAAAAGATTAGAAAATAGAAGGAAGGATAAGAAATAAGGAAACCTCCAACCTCCTCCTTAATAAAAGTTCAAAACAGAAAACATGTCTGTTATTAAGACTTCATTAGAAAAGAAATGTGCTTTGCATAGAAGTCAAACATCTAATTCTGTCCAAATAAATGGTGTGGCATTAAATCATTGTTAAGAATAGATTTATGCTGCAACTTAATTCACTATGTTGTATATTGATTTTTCCTCTTAAATTATGACAATGTCACTTATTTGATTATACTTTTATTTCCTCAACTTTTGAACCTCTGTCCTTTTTGTAATATCAAATTATTTGTGAAAGGTGCTGCAATGTATTCATTTTGTGGTCCTTATACGCAGATAATTATGGTGACCTACGAAAAATTCACAGTTTTCTTTTTAAAAGGGGCCCTTTTTCTGGGTAGAAAGTGTGACCAGTACTAAAGATTTTGAATGTTGTATATTATAGAAGTAAACCGAATCATCTATTGGATTTGTATATTACAAAGCATAACGGAGGAACTTTTGTGCCTCAAGCCTCCAACATACTGTTTCTTGCTTGATCGTGCTATGACAAGATTCTATGTTTTTTTCTACTCTGGTTGTTGTAGTAATTACTGTATATATTCCTTTTTATGTCAATTTCAGGTTGATACAGAATAAATTTTTTATTTTTCCTAAATTAAACCTTTATTTTTATTACTATCTCTTTTCAGGTACACAATTATTCTCCAGCTCCACTGATTAATAACAGCATTAAGGTGAGTAGTGTATGGTGGTTACCAGTAGATGAATATCGCTAATTGCCTAATAGACAATGTACTGTAAAGTTTTGGTTGATCACATTAAATTTGTATTTTTCCATTCATGTAATACCATATACATGCCTTGCTCTGATTGATGCTGTTATGTGTTTGCTCAAGTTATATGGTTGTTTTTAGTTCACAAGTTATATGGTTGTTAATCTAATGGTATGTCCTGATGAGAATTGGTACTGCATAATATCAGCTCAACTTTTTGTTTCGTTTATGCTTAATGCAGATGGAAGTAGGAATTGAAGAGTGCTTACACATAGAGTTTGAATATGGTAAAAGCAAGTGAGTCTGAAATAGATCATGATTAAATATACTTCTTCAATGCTCTTAAAGAAGATTAAAGGAAACTTGCTTGTAGTAATTAAAAAATTAACAGGTATCATCTGAAGGATGTCATCGTCGGCAAAATATATTTTCTTCTGGTGAGAATCAAAATAAAAACCATGGAACTTGAAATCAGGCGCCGAGAGTCAACTGGATCTGGGACCAATACATATGTTGAGACGGAGACCCTCTCAAAGTTTGAATTGATGGATGGTGTTCCTGTCCGAGGTTTGCAGTTTTTATAGTATACTTCAGTTCTTTGAAAAATAAAAAATGATTCTCCACTCTATATAATATGCATGATGTTTGTCTTGTAGTGAGTGTTTGGCAAAATGGCATCCCTATCCTAATCTTGTGTTAACAGATATGTTGAGTTTGATTATGCATTGGATGTTGGAACTTGTCTCTGATATTAAAAAGAAATGATGCTATAAACATTAACCTAGATTAGAGTTAGAGGAAATACAAAGAAAAACATACTAAGTACTATGAAATATTAAAAAAGAGGACAATGGTAAAAGGAAAAGGAAATAAACTCAGTTCACATAGATCTTGAGATCTATATTTCTATTTTATTTTGCCTCCCCACTTTTTCGTCTCCCCTACATTTTTCACTTTTATAATTTTTCTAGGAATAATAATATTTTTTAAGTGTTTGGTGCATACATTATTGTTGTTTTACCTGGTCTAATGTAATCCCTTATTCAATGTTTGGAAATTATCTTGTATTTTTAAATATTTAGTTGAAAAATTAATTGGAATACTAGACTAGTGGATAAGTTTTATTCTGGGAATAAAGGGGCAGTGGATGATGGGGATAAAGGAAACAGAATAGAATTAGTTTAACTCAACACAAATGTATAGTGCAATAATCAAATGAACACACATCATATTTGTTGAAAGTGAGTATAATTAATCCCAGTGCAAGATCTTTAGTAACAATTTGCACAATTTCTCGTTCAATACAAGAAAAAATCATTCTTTTTCATAATATTTGTTATTGTGAATAATATTTTAATGGTTGTAATTAGCATACACTAAATACTTTCAAATTTTAACTAATATTTTGCTTAGTATTTCAATTCAGGTTATTGTAGTTTATCATACTTCAAATTTGTACATAGTTATATATTAGAATTGTTGATATTGCTTCTTCAGGAGAATCAATTCCTGTGAGATTGTTCATGAGTCCATATGAGTTGACCCCCACATACCACAACATCAATAACAAGTTCAGTGTGAAGTATTTTATAAATCTTGTTCTTGTGGATGAAGAGGACAGACGGTACTTCAAACAGCAAGAAATCACAGTATATCGGCTAAATGAAAAATCCTGAATCTTATGACAGAGGATTAGGAATTATTCTTTTTGTGTCACCACTTGTGAGTGGTAAGTTTTCTAATAATGTCACTGTAGTTACTTGAAAGTGGATACTATTCTATTCTATTTTTTTCCCTTTTCATCGATGGGTATGTAACTATAACTATCTCCTAAATTTTAACATCCAACTTTGCCCTGTCATGTAAAGGAACTTAAGACTAGAAAATGAATTCTAGTGATACATACTCTACACTTGAATAGTGTTTGATCTAACTCTTTTGGGGATTTTCCTTTTAAAATAAAAATGTTGAGTAAGACACAGTTTCTTAAAGTTCTTAAAAATTAAGGACGTTAACTTATAATGTGAAAAAATAGAGAAAAAATATATATCATTTTCTCCCTACGTTGTCCTCTTTTTCCCTCGCTCTCCTCTTTCTCTCTTGCATCATGTCTTTTAAACAAAAACAAAAGAAAATAGTCAAACATTTAGTTTACTTTTTAAAAAATTTGGTTTTAACTTTGAAGTAATTTTTAAGGGGAAATAAAAGTTGGGTATTGCTTTTTCCACCTCGTACATAATTTAGTTGAACATTTATGTGTGTCTACATGCATCAGTGTTTTAAGAATAAAAAACTCCAGTTCATAAACGTTAATCTCCTACGAAGTTTTACTTTGCAATGTGGAAAAAGGTTTTATTGGCATGTCTTTGTAATGGGTGATCAAATGATTTATGCAGATTACTTTTCGGCTTTAAAATGGTGGTGCTGATCATTCACAAATGGAACATTTAAATACGAGTCTCCATGGATAACAAGCCAACCTGATTCATGTAGAATGTAATGGTATGCTAGAGCTATTGCTTTTAGCCATAGCATGACAGCAAACCAAGAATTTGCGTATCAATCTTCATCAAAATTTTGATTTTATTTACAGGAATTCCTAGTAATTTCAACATAGAAAAGTTGCTTGACATTATACATCCACCTAAGATCTTGTAATTATTCTTGTTGGAGTATAAAACATTCAAATAATAAAAAAAAATAACTTTTAAAAGAATAATCCTACTGCTAGACCTCAAAATTGAAGCCCAAGTTTTAATGGGTTATGCATTTTTAACATTTTCAACCCTATACCCTGGGACAATGAAACTGGTTTGAATTGTCGTTTTCAACAAGAATATTCTATTTTCAAACGGATCATACTTCACATATAAATAGAAGATGAATTCAAGTCACTGTCTTTTTAACATTGTTGTTGGTTGAAATTTAATAAATTTTGTAGATTTTGCATTTCACTTAATAATGGAAAGAAAATAATATTAATAAGAGTGGTAGAAAAATGTTGCTAATGTAAAAGTACATGTACACTCCATGTTATTCGGTACCTAAATTGAGAAAGAGTAAAGAAAGAAGTGTAAATATATTAAGATTTAAGTCATATGTTATAGTAAAAGATATAGTAAAAAATACGTATTTAGCTTATATAAATTTACCAAAGATTCTTAAAATGCCTGACCCTGACAAACTCTCCATTAGTTAGTGTTGTGCTCTAATTTTACTCGTAACAAAAATTATTGACTAAATATGATCATTCAGGATTAAGAAAAAGTTGATTGCTTAAATTTGAAACATAAACATATTTAACTATACAAGATTCAAGAGTATGGACTACGCGTACACTCTACGTGCATATTTAACAAATCATCATCATTATTATTATTATTAATATTAAGAAGAAGAAATCATTTTTATTTTTATTTCATACTACTGAACACTTTGATGTTATTTTTATGTCAACACTTATATAAACGGGCTTTTACAAGTACAATGAAGTGTGTTTTGGATTGTTGTTAAAAAGGCATTAAACGTTTGTTTGCAACATTTCAAAACACAAAATAAAGAAGCAACAACACTGATGGATTAAAAAAAAAAATAGTGAGTTACGTTCAATGAAATGATAATCCAAACATACAGTAACAAACCGAGAAAATAACTATTGAACAATAATAAATTGTTCCAAGAAGTTACAAATAACTGTCAACGAAACCAACTTTTAACACCGCCAAACCTATTTTCTACATAGATCCCCAAATACATGATGTCTTGTATGCTGAATGGGAAGATATATTGTTTTCTTCTGTTCTAGTATTGCGTGGTTAATATGAATATAAAAACATAATTCTAAAAAGATAACACTACAGAATATTACTTTGTTTAAAAAAAAAATTTGACCATATAAAATTTTAGATATTCTAAGATCTGTTTTTTGCTCTTTGCAACTCAAACAATTCCTGGTCCAGTTTGGCAATTAAGTCAATGTCCTTAATCGTATGACTTCAAGTTTAGCCAAATTAATTCATAGATAAAACATCAAATATACATAAAAAAACAATGAACTAGTATTTCTATTTATCATTATATATCTTATGGCTAAATATATACTTGGTCCCTAAGTATTTTTTTCAAGAAAAACTACTTTATTCTATGTTTTAGCCCTTGGAAATTACAAAAAACTATATGCTTATAGGCTTTGATGGCACATTAAACACGTACTATTCTTGCTAAATTCATGTTTTTAGTCTTTGGTGGCAAATATACACTATCAGGAACCAAAAATATATTTATGGTGATATTTAATACATTTCTAGATTCCTATACCACAAACACCTTGATAAGATTATGGATTCACAAAAAGACATTTTGATAACTCAAGATATGCTAAATGGATATCAAATGACTACCCCATCTCAACTTCACAATGAACAAAGCTTTATACTTTCAATTCAAAGGCTATTTCCATTTTCTACTTGATTGAATAAAAAAGGCTGTTTACCAAAAGAAAAAAAAACACACACACACAAACACAAACACAAAACAAAACAAAAGCTTAAAAAAATGGGGGAAAAAATAGTAAGTTCTGCAATATATAACGCATCACAACAACCTCCTATGATATAAAAAATATGCTTAGTATGTAGGTTAAATGATCCTGCTCCGATCAAATTTATATTTTGAAGATAAATAACCTACAACTGAAACCTCACGAATGAAACACCAGAAATAATTTAAGACTGTACCCTCACACTCTTCTGTGAGCCTTTTAGCTTAAGTATGACAAGTGAGTACAATTATTACTAATCACCTCTATGCTACACAGCTGAATAACAATATCAGTAAAATAAGGATGTGCACATCATAGCAATTAGCTTCCTCAATCAGTTGAATAAGAATATCAATGCATCTCATTGTACACTGGGAAAAACAAATTTCTATCACAGTAGAATGTAAAAACCATAAGCAATGCCACACCTTCGAAACAACTAAAAACAGTCACAAATTACTATTTACTCCTTCAATGTTGAGGTTGGTGAAACACATTGGAAATAACCTAATTGCATGATATCCTACTTTAAATGGAATTTTGACCTCACAATAACCTGCTGAGGGACTTGATAAGTAATTTCAAATTCTTTCTTGTAGCTTCATCACCAGTGAAACCCAAAATATCCGAGCTAACATTCTGCCATAATGCAACAAAAATTAATTAATTGAGAAGAAAAATCATTAATATTAGACATAAATACGTTTTTAATCCCTCAAATACGAAGTAAATTTATTTTTGATCTCTCAAATTTAAAATTGATTTTTTTAGTCCTAGTAATTTGGAAAAATATTTATTCTAGTCCCCAATACTAAATTTTAATTTTGGAAAAATAAAACTTATGTATTACTAAATTTATCACACAAAATTCATTTACTAATATTTTTGTTAGTGAAAATATCACATTAAACTTAATCGATTTTGTATAATTATCTCAATTTATCACCATCATGTATGTTACTGATGATCCTAAGGAACTAAAATAAGTTTTTTGGAACTACAGAGACTAAAAAGATTAATTTTAAATTTGAAGGACTAAAAATAAATTTATCCTAAATTTGAGGGACTAAACACATATTTAAGCTTTAATATTAATTATACTTTCAGGACAATAAAAGTTAGGGTAAAAATTTACCTCAATGTTCTTCAAGGTAAAAATAAGAGTATATATGGACTTTTGGAGCAGTTCAGTGTTCTCAGGGGTCATAATGGATGAATGAACCCTTCTGCATTAGCATTGAATGATTTCTATTAATCAGAATACAAGAGGGTAAACTAACCATTGTACTTGAAGAATGTTCTGAGAGTAAAAATAAAGATTAAATCAACATATTATATAAGTTCAATTATCTTAAGCATAATTGTCAAGGATCTATGTGGTTAAGCAATGACACTAGAAGCATGACATTATCTTAAGAGAACTCTCAAACCGTATCCATTTCATATTTTGGAACAAAAAAAAAACACTAAATAACCTTTACTTTTCAAGTTGATTTTGAAATTAAACACACGTCATTTTACCATTTATAGTGTGTTTGGAAAAGATTATTTCCCTTACTTTCAGCTGTTTAATGAAAAGAAAGTTGTTTGTGAGATAAGCTGGTTGTGTGGAACCACAACTTAAATTTGCACACAGCTTTTTTTAAAACGAAAATAAGTTGTTTTGTACAATCAAAAAATTTGAAACTTATGATTATTTTCCAACAGCTTTGTGTTCTTTTTTTCGCAAGTTACTACATAAAAGCTGAATTTTTGTCGTATCCAAACAAAATCAAATATCCCAATTATTGAAATAATCTAATTTTCACAGATTTCCCAAACACACCCTTATTATTCCTTGAAGAAAAAGGAAAGAACCTACAAAGAATGAACACCTCGACATTTTCTCTATCCATTTTGCTCATCTTTCTCCAACTTTTCCTATCCTTTTAATCTCTCAATTTCACAAAATATATTTTTTTTCATTTATTCTTCATTCCTTTCTTCCACACACAGCTGTGTAAGAGAACATTACATGTCATTTCAACTTTTAGAGGATAATGATAAAAATAAGACATGATACATTACAAGTTACATTCACATCATGTTGTGACCTAAACTGTCAAGTCTCCTCACTCAGGATCTATCCCAAGATTAAGATGTTCACAAGCTTAATGGCATCCGCTACACTAATAACAATAAGCTGCATGGTTATGTATATGCATGCATGCCAAATTAGAGAAAAACAGATGCCAGAGAGGTTCACAAACTAACCTCAAATCTTCAGATGCTTGTGTGAGGCTTCGGGTTAAATTCTCAACTTCTTTCAACAGATTACTATCACGGACTTCAGTCAACAAAGGTTGAACATCTTCAGCCATGGCTTTTATCTGTTACATCACTACATCAAATGGAAAATATGGGTATGAGAATCCATGATAGAATGGTATGGTATAAAAGGAAACTATATATATATATATATATACACACACATATACACACAGATATACACACACATACCTAGAACAAAGAACTCGAAACCCATAAATATTGATGTAGGTGCATTTAAGACACTGGATTTTAAATAATATTACTATCACACTGGCTATCAGTTACAAAAATGTCTATAATGTAATACATAGATGCAGCCAAAAAAAATGAGTATAAGTCCATAATAAGTTCCTCAGAATCTGGATGAAGCCAGATGGTTTTATATGGAATGTGTTGTTTACTTCTGCTTACAATTGCTAGATGCAATTGCAGCCAGGATGACCAAGGAGAATGACCCAAAATATTAAATAAATAAAGTATCTACAAGAACATGGATATTAAGTTTCCAGAATGCAATGACATGTCTTTGAAAATCAAGTTCCATCTGCTAAGTTCATTAACTGCTCTAAGGGTGCATTTGAAAGAGGCCAATGCGAAGCCTATTTGAGCTTATGAAAAGTAGCTTAGGACTTCTATAAGCTCCTTTTAGCTTATTTCAATCAGTTTCTTGGTGCAGCTTACCAAAACAAGCTCTTTTGCTTATGAGTTTTCATGGTCAAATTTATGGGTTATGGCATAGGCCCTCTTGAGATAAAAAAAAAATTATTGAATAAGTGTGAAATTAAGTTGTTTAACCAAACAATTCCAAGTTAGTAAAATCTGACACTTATGCTGAAAAAGGGAATAAGTTAGAATCAATATAATAAAACAAAATTCCCAAATCAAGTCTTTCAAACAGAGAATTCTATGGCATTAAGAAACAATCATGTTCTAGTTTCTAATACTATAACAAACAAATTCAGGCAACCATGAACCATCCATTGTCTTGGCAAGAAAATTGATTAATTCAACAGTCTAGTTTGGAGGATATTACCATCAATAAAGCACACTAGCATAAGAATATCACACCTTTGTAAGAAGAGGTTTCGCTTCTTCAATAATTGAAGCAGCCCGTTCAGCCAATGAATAGCTATTGGCAATGCCAATTTTCTCAACATCTTGCCCAAGGCGGGTAAATATCCCAACCAAGGCATCCAAACTTACTCCTTGGTAACCTTTAATCTTCTCTCTATCACACACAATGAGCCCTTCTTTAGAACATTCTTGGTCAAGTGGTCCAGTTGAAGGTGTTGGAATAGGATCACGAGGAGTAATGTCAATTATAGTTTCCATAAGAAGACCTGACTGGTTAACTTCAACCAATGAATTCCGTGGTATGATTGTTTTATCATCTTCAATCTACAAGTAGAAGAACCAAAGGTTTAAACTGATATAACACACCAACTAAATTTACATAGTTTAAAACCAAGCAATATTTTAATACTGAAATGTTAGGACAGAGGAAGTGAAACAAGGTTTCATGTTCATCCAAAAGATTAAGTTATTAAGAGGCACCTCAACAATAGCTTCAATACTTCTTAAGGAAGGATTCACACGAATGACGTCACCAACAGTCACCCCTCTGATCCTCACAGGTGTTCCAGTGCATATACCACAAGCCTGATCAAACTCAAATGTTGCTGTGTACTTCCTGAATTTGGAACGTATTTGGAAACCCTTCAACCAGGCCAAACTAAGTGCAAACAGAACTGCACCTGAAACTAAAAACAGTCCAACCCCACCTTCCCATATACTCCGACCACCAAACCCAAAATCACTTAATGGACGCAGTGTTTGCCTCCAAAGGGTACGAGGAATGTCCAAAACAGTGGCAAGAGGATTCTTTGATCCTGAAGCCGGTGATGGTTCAATATGCCCTGCATCTGCAGATGTAGCTCTTATCCTGTTGATTTTTCTCTGGGGTCTAAATGGAAGACAGGGCACACAATTTACAGAACTTCCATGTAGAGTAATGAGAGATGAAGATAAAGCACTTGGCAATGTTGAAGCATGCAATGGAGGGTTCCTGATCATCTTTGACCAAATGTCCTAACTCCCAAATACTAATATCCCCAATGTTGAAGTGCAAATGATTCAACACAACAGAGACTCCAGCAGCAAAAATTTCCCTAGAAATCATAAACCATATATACCTTATCAACAATACATACATAATTAAGGGACAAAAAGAGCTGAAAAGAACAAGAACCAACAAAAAAAAAAGAGGCAATAACACAATCAATTTCAATGGATTTAATTATACAAGCAAAACACAATTCAATTACCAATGGAGCCAGCATTGAATGAGGTACGCAAACAAGAATCCAATACTCAATCAAAGCTCCAAGAAAATAGATTTTAGATTTAAACTTAATAGTGTGTTTGGTTTCACGGTGAGAATAATGATTGATTTTGACCGCTGTCAAACTTGATTTATAAAAATATAAATGTTTGGATATTAATAGGTAAAATTAACCTTGCCACAAAATCTCAAATTGACTAGAAGTGATAAAAAGTAGCTTTTGCAAATTTCCACCAAGTTTTATAGCAAACTTGCTATCAAGATAAAAGCATCCATAAGTCACTTCAGTTGAAAATCAGTTTTAACCAAAATCAATGTTACAAATGCACATCCAAACACACACCAAATGTGTGGTTGGGAACCAATTAAATCAGGAAAATAGCAGTTCTTTCTTTAAACTCAAGCACAAAGCTGAGAAAACTAAAGGAATTTATTTCTCCAAAAATTAAGAAGAATTGAATAAAACAAATCGCACACTAAAAGAAAGTCTTACACCATACCTTATCACCTTTCCAAGATATACTAATACAGTAGCAGAAATGGAGACCAAAAAAAGACATCAAATTGATACGACAAGAGAAAAGGACCAAAAAACAAAAAACAGGGTTTTGACTAGCACCCAATTCCCATTTCAAAAACAAAATTCTGGGTAACAAGAGAAACACCCCAACTCAACTATGACATTTTTTGCCACACAAAGGGGTTCCACCCTAAGCAACAACCATCAACCTATTCCGGAATCAAAATTTGTGATGGAAACTGAAAGGGCAAGTAAAAATTCGCGGTGTGGAATGGGAATTAACATTAGTCGCATTGGTGCCACTGTGAAATTGAGGACCAAATCACAAAGTGTGGTTTTCAAACATACCCGAGAATTGAAAGAACAAAAGATAGTGATTAGTGCTCCATGCTTTTCATTTTCATGCAGTCAAAGAAGAGAGAGAAAGTGGGAGTGAAGCTACAGAGATCCGTATGCAATAGCTGGAGCCATGGAGGGTGTGAGTGAGAATATACCAAGAGAGAGAGAGAGAGAAGAAGGCACTTGGAAGGTGGAACCTAAACACAGCCCAACGTTAATCCCATAATGGGCCAAACCTTGTTTTCTGCTAAATTAATTAGGTGAACATTGCTTTTGGTACTCCCATTTTTGCTATTTTCATCTTCTTTTTTTTGTGGTTAAGTTTTAGTTTAACAATGTCTTCCTACACGAATTTGGTTTTGTTATTGCGGAATTATACCTCCAAAAGTGTAATAAAACAATGTTTTAATGTCTTTCTAAAATTTTAATTAATATCTCATTGATCTAATCTAAGTTTAATTATCATTAAAATTTGACTAAGCATTAGGGGTGAAATTCCTCTTTTAGATTTTTGTTAGTTTCTGATTTAATAAATAAAGTTTTGTGTTAAATTAAATATTATTGAATTTTGGTTAGCATATTATTTACTCTAGTGATGGATAAAAAAAATTAGATAATAAGACCAATATTTATATATAAATATTGTAATGTTAAAAATATTATATATCTATTAAAAGTATATTTAAAAGTATAAATATGTATCATAATTATTCCTTATGAATTTTCATATCTATTACTGTGTAATTAAGAGGGAAACAAAGCATAAACTTAATTTTCATTGAAAATATATTATCTAATTTTAGCTTGTTTATTTGTCTTATATCTTTTTTAAAGGTCGAATCTAATTTATATAAGTTTGGTTTGACCTACAAATATATTTAAGTTTGGTTTGACCTACAAATATATTTAAAGATCTATTTTATAATAATTTAATATTAAAAATATGAAAAATAAATAAATAAATATGTTAGTTTTCATAAAATCGAGTTTAATTTGTTTATTTGATATTAGATAATTTTAATTAATATAAAATTTATAATGATATTGAAAAATAGTTTAAAAACATATATTATAATACGATATTCGAATAAAACATAAATTTGACACCCTTTACTATTTAGATTTTTTATATTAGTGTATACAATAAGTAGAAAACGAAAAAGGTAAATGTATATGTTGCAAATTTCATTCTTATGAAAATTTAAATTTTATATCAAGAGTTGTTGGTTCAAGTAAATTTTGTGTTTCTTAATCAAAGACTAAGATTTAATTTGAGATATCACTTTACTCTTATAGGAGTTGATTTAGTAGAAGCAAGTTATACCTTCTTATTAAACTAAAACAATATGACTATAATTTTTAAAATATATTACATTTATATGATGACATATTTATATAATTAAAGTTAATACACTCAATAACTCACAATCTATAATCTATATTAATTTTTAAAGATTCAATCAATGAATTAAGAGTTCTTAAATAATAGATCAAGTTTACAAAATTTTGTAAAAATTAAAAATAATTTGATACTTCATTTTCAAATTGGCATATATTCATAAAAACTTATTATACGTCAATTTGAATACATGTAACAAAATATCAAATAATTTTTAAATTCTTTAAAAATTGTAAATTTAATCTATGCATTAAGAACTTTTTATTTAATGGATGGATCACTAAAATTTGATATTGAACATGAGTTATTAAATGATAGACTTACTATTGGAGTAAGTGGATTCTTCCTCTCTCTCAGACACACATATATATGAGGAGGGATCAAATTAGTTCAAGAGTAGTTCTTAGTTAAGTTATTTCACTTAATAAATCATTTTGTATGTTGAATTCTAATGATTTAATTGTCAAATTAAAAGTTTTAAATGTATAGATCTCTCTATATGTGTGTGTGCGCATGTGTATGTGTTAGCGTGTGTGTGTGGAGTTATAACTTGCTAATGTATTCCTTCTATAAAAAAAGTGGGTGTACATTAGTAAACTTGATATGTGTTGTGTTATTATAGATCTCTCTATATATATGTGTTGTGTGTGTGTACATGTGTGTGGAGTTGCTAACTTACGCTTGTGCTTTAGAAGGAACAAGTTAACAAGTTACACTTGAGTACATTTTAAAAAATATTGTAGTTATAACTTGCTAATATATTCCTTCTAAAAAAGAAGTGGGTGTACATTAACAAATTTGATATATATTTGCTTATTTACACTAACTTGTTTTTTAAAAGGAGTAAGTTAACAAGCTACACCTAGGTACATTTTAAAAAAAATAGTTATAACATGCTAACTTACTCTTTTTAAAAAAAACAAGCGGGTGTAAGTTAGCAAATTCAATATATATATATATATATATATATATATTATGAGAGATGAGAGGGTTAAAATATAACCCTTAGATTAATTTTCTCTCACTTGATTAAACTCCAAATTTTCTCTCACTTGATTAATCTAAGGGTTATATTTTAACCATTTCATCTCTCATAATAAATTTCCTCTCACTTGATATGTTCCCTATATATAATATATATATGAGGAAAGATCTACTTATTCTAAAAATATGTCTACTTAAACTTATTCAATTCAATAACTCATATTCTACATCAAATTTAAATGATCCAATTGTTGAATTAATTTTTTAATACATAAATCAAGTCTGCAATTTTTTTTTAAATTTGAAAATTATTTAATATTTAATTTTTTAATTCAAATCAACGTATAAAATGTTTATATGATAATCTATCAATTAGAATTAATGAAATGAAGTATAAAATATTTTTAATTTTTTAATTTATTTTTTAAATTTGTAAACTTGATATATGAATTAAGAACTTTTAATTTAACATTTGAATCATTGAAATTTGATGTATAATACATGAGTTATTAAGTGGTGTAAGTCTAAGTATATTTATTTTTAGAGTAAGTAAATGATTGTAAAATGTTAGTGGAAGCAATAGGCTTTAACTTAGATATGTCATTGATTGACTCATTGTTGAGTGATCTTGGAGGTGTCATCCTCTATCTACCATTTTTATTAATCAAAAAGACTTTAAATTGAATTAGATTTAAATTTCTTTGGTAAAGTCTTAAGTTTAAATATTATAGATCGGAATAACTTAATTGAAAAGGAATATTTAATAAAAGTGACAAACTAAGTTTTCCAATAAAAATTACTCCCTTCATTTCATTTTATTTAATATTTTGGCAATTTTTTATTTATTTCAATTTGATTGTCATTTTATATAAATGCAACATTAAATATTATTTTTCTATGGGATAAACTTAGGTACAGTTACTTAGAGGTTGTTAATGTTGTTCTCCAATCAAAATTGAAGATTTATTTCGATAATATGCACTTATTACATTTAATGCAGATCTCTTTCATATACATTAACGTGTACTATATTGAAGTAAATCTTCAATTTTGATTAGAGAATAACACCAATTACACATAAAGAACTATACCTAAATTTTATTCTTTTCTATTATATCATTAACTATTATTACTACATTCTTTAATTATTGTTGAGAATTTAAAAGTTTAAAATATATTAAAAAGTTACAAAATTTATTTTATAAAATCAAACATATTATCTTATATAAAAACATTGAATAACCATAATATTACTCCCTAAGTCTTGTCTTGTATTAAAACCATAAACAAAACACAAAATAAAAGGGTGCAATAGTTATTAACAAAGTCAGGAAAAACTTTGTTTCGGTACTATACGGAGTAATTTGAAAGAATTTTTTTTTTTAAAAAAAAAATAGCACTCTTCAATGAAACATTTATGCATGGTCTTCTTCTGTGGGGATAGCTTGCTGGCAACCTTTCTTTCAACTGGACAAGGAGGTTTTGGGGACCTCGATGGATGAGACGAGGAGAATGTTGTTTCATGTCTTCTTATAATTAATGGTATGGGTAAACACTGAAAACCAAGTTGAGGATTAGATGTTGATTTTTGGCAGAGTGTTCTGTCATCTTTGGAACAAACAAAAACTTTAACAAGAGGTAATAGCTCTTCGTTATTACGCCTTTGAGATCCATGGTCTTATATGTGAATGGATATATATGGTTAAAATCCTCTTTTTTTTTTTTTAATTTATATACTTTTACTTATTTTACTTTGTAATCTTTATTCTTTACTATTTAATCTAAAAACACCCTTATGGTAATAAATAAAAACATTATCTTTCATGAATATAATTAAAGATATTTTAGATGATTAAAGATATTTTAGTTAATGTAATGTATATTTTATGTAAATTGTAAAAATTAAATATAATTAATAAATTTTCTTAATCTATGTAAAATTAGTTATTTTTGCATATACACGAGTCATGGGAGAGTAACTAATTTATCAAAACCTATACAAATAGTTAAGATGGTTAATTTTCATTAATATTGTCATATAATTAAATTTCATTCCATAAATATCTGTTGAATTGATTAGTTTTAATATTTATAACATTAAATGACACTACACTTAACTAGTAGTTTAGTGTGTGTAATGCAAATATTAACTAAAATTTAAAATAAATCATTTATATATATCTATTATAAAGGAGATTTACAATGTATAATCATTTTTAATTTTCACTTTTAGTGGAGTATTATACTCCTCATTTGTCAAAAAAAAATTTAAAAAGTTGTTCATGTTTTATGATTTTAAAAAAATTAAGAGGCAAGAATAAGTGTCTCTTTTTCATACTACTATAAATAAAACTGTTTCATATATATAATTTATATTTAAAATTTGAATATATATATATATATTTATTTAAATATATAAATTATATTTTAAATTTATAATAAATAATTTGTATTGTAACACATGATTATTTTTATTTATTGATAATTTATTTTAAATATTAAAATTTAATTCATAAATAATTATATAAATAAAAAATGAATTAGATATGAATTTGAAAAATTCCTAAAATCTCTCTTGTTAAAAAAAGTTCTTAAAATTTTGTGCAAGATAGTCGTTTATGTTTTTTTATATATAGGAGTGATTTAAGAGAACTTTTTCAATCAATGAATATGACTTGTATTATTATTAATACATTAATAAATACATCTACTTGCATAAGGGTATAAAAGGAAATTAGTACTACCTCTACCCTTAATTATAACACTCTTTCTAAGGTACATCTTTTATGAAAATTAATTAATTTAGTTAAGAGCATTAAATTTATCAATAA